CTGGGGCCCCAACTCTAAGCTAATTAAAGCTTGAGGTATGGGTGACCTGGGCATTTTGTTTTAAAAGTTCCCCAGATGGTCCTGGGGAAAGCAGGGTCTGAGTCATCCCAGGTGAGTAACTGTGAAGAGGTACATCAGAACTTGGGGAGAATACATGTGTGATTTGCACTATCTCCTCAAGTCAGCTATGTGCCCCCTTTTCCCCTTTAAACTGGGCAATACTGGTTTGAAATGAACGTGAACCTAATTCACTATACAGCACTACCCCAAACTCCACAGGCTTGGTTTTACCGTGAACGGTGGCTGGGAAGCTCCGTAGCTTTTCAAATCAGCTCTAAGTCTCTACAAAAGCATTTTAAAATTACTAGCACTAATAGCAGCCACATTCTCTAGTGACCACAATAGAACCTTAGAAGTTATAAAAAATTAAGATCTATAGAAAATGGCAGGTTATTTATAGAACAAAATACTTTTAAGAAAGTCTTCAGGCTAAATACAGTATATAAACTAGTGTATGTTCAACATATCCAATTCCACTTTTGCTTGCAAAATACTTATTTTACACACAATCTTGCCAAATGATAAAAAAAATCGGTAAAGAGAAATTATATGTGCAAGGCAAATCAAGAAGTCACATTCATGCTCTTCTGTATTGATACTAAGCCACATTTAAAAAATTACAAATTCAAAAATAGAGCTCCAGAAGAGTTGTCTCTTTTAAAAAAACTTCCGCTTAGCGCAGTCTATATTCTTTTTCAGTTGCTTGCATAGGTAGTAAGAGCATGCTTTCTGGATCAGATGGAGGCCATGCAAAATGGTTTTCATTACTTAGGGGGGCAAAAAAAAATTCCTGATCATGCTTAAAATACAGCTGCAGAAACAAAACACCTCCAGAGTTAGCTGAAAGCAGGGTGTGACACTTGAATTTTCACTGAAATCAAAGCACTGAGTTTCCCCCTAAAATAGAGAGTCAAGGTGAGCAAGAATATGCCCTTTGTGAAATGAAGACAAAGCAAAGGAACAGCTACATTTTTTGTTTACATGTATGATATAGGCACTGTTGTCAGCAAATATTGCCCTTCTCAGCTGCAAATAATACAAAGTTCAACATGCCTTACAGAGTACATGGTTTATTGAAACTGTGCTTATAATTTGCATAATATTCCCCAAATCCAACCCAGTCTGTCTCCAATAGGTGTAAGAGCCTATAGGAAACATAACTTCAGCTGGTTAGCAATTTGTCAGAAGGAAATGTAACAGCAGATGTCAATCTACTTTTAAAAACACATTTGCGAGAGAGAGGAATTTTGCTGGCAGTTCTTGGCGCTCCATGGTCCCTAAAGGCCTCTGCTATCCCCTTTCTTCTCAGGACAGATATTTAAGGGGAATGACAGTGTCTATTCCCTCCATCCCCAGAACCACCATCTTTCATCGCATACAAACTGGGATGCCCAGACTCTTATCAAGTAACTGATACATGTGATGGATTCCCAACCCTAAGTAGTAGAGACGCCTCAGTCTGGAAAAGCGGATAGGCGGGTAAAATGTCTCCACACATGAAGGGCACTTTTGGTTTTCAGGACAGATTTGCTCAGGAGGGTCGCCAGCCTCAGATGATCCCGGGGAGTAGCCGGGGCCTCTTGCAGGAGGAGCGTCACCCCGTCCACCATGCCATCATCCCCGGTCCTCAGCCCTGGTCCCCTGTAACAGCCAATCCCTGCCACTTCCAGCTCTGCCTGAGGAGGGGTGTGCAGGATGACTGAACGACTACAGACGGTCCCACGCAGCCTCACCGACGACGGACACTATCTTCACACTAAAAAACACTTCGTCCCCATTTCGACTGGTCCAACACACCATCACTTAACTTCCAGTGTGGCTGCCTTCTGAACGAGGAAACAGGAAAGGGGTGGGAGGTGGGCTGTGACGCCATGAAGCTATGGTTTCGTGTTTTCACATTACAAAGCATGACTCGGACTGGGCTGTCCCAAGGAATGATAGACCCTCCAGAACACATGTCTACTGGAAGAGAAATCAGGAATTTAAAAGAAAAAAAAATTTTTTTCCCACAAACAGGTATTACAGATGTGACAGTATTAATGGTAATCCTCTTAGGCCTCCCAGAGTTTTCTTCCCAGGTACACTGGCTGTCAACCATCAACCTAGTCCTCCAAGCCCTAGCCAATGACTCTTAAAACCCAAGACACATACGTGTTCATTGTGCTAAGTATCACCGCGGGGCGGGGGAACGGGCGGAGAGCGGAGCAAACCCCAAGGCACTAACTTCTACCCAGGATGTGGATGAAGCCCACCGAGGACTTTCCCCTAAGATACTTTATGTACTCCAATGATCACCTTCAATCTTTGGACAAAAAAAAAATATTCTTTTTCTGAGGCTTAAAGTTGTACCTCAAAGTTTGGGGATAATGCCATTTTCACTGTTTCTCAAGCACAAGAAGGTAGAGGATCACAGCTGTGGAGGCAATGCCCTAACTCCTGATTTCCTCTGAGTTAATTAAATCTGTAGCAAGTACTAAACTCTATAGGCAGACAGAGAATGGAGGCTGAAATTTCATTTCTGAGTCCTCAGGAGAAATTAAAGGGGTTTGTAGAGATTTTTATTTTTGTCCTTAAAGAGACTAGCCATAATGGTAAATCCATTCCTACAAGAATAAACAATGAATATTTACCACTGAAAAAATAAAACTAGTTTCTATTGATGCTGAAACGATTACAGGGTAGGGGGGGGAAGTGCTAATAGCACTCTGTCTAATCAAGATAAAAATCCAAGACTGTTCACAGATTCAGACAGGAGATTTCAAGTGAAATCTACCTAGTAAAGAAAAAGAGGTTCAAATGAGACATTCAATTCCTGACACTGTCAATCCACACACCTGGTCCCCCTTTTTTCAGGAAATAAATGCAGTGAAGGACAGGAGGGTAGCAGAGGCTGACCACTGAATGGGATGTGACCACACTGGTGGAAGAAGGAAGAACGGTGGTGGTGGTGACCTGGCAGTCCCACCATGGTGGACAGGAGCACTGCCTGGGGCTCTGATGTCCACGTGGTCCAACCGGGAAACCAGTCAAGCTGTGTGTGCAATGGGGTCAGGTCAAATGAACCACCTCGAGCATCCTGGTACCTAACCTTCACAAGGCCGAATCTGTAACCTCACAAGGGTCTGTAACTCCATCTACCCTAACAATCTCCAGACTCGCCAGTTACACACTGATGCTCAAATTAGCAGCAAAATGAAACAGCTCAATGGAAACATTTCCTAAAAAGTGTTCATGAAAGATTTAAAAAAGAAAAAAAAAGGCATTGTAGCTTTGTAGCACTGCATGTATACATATTCTAGTTATGCCACACAATACAATACTGATAATGAAAATTATTAACAATCTGGATGCTGAGTCTACGAGTGCAGGGACAAACATCTGAAAGCTTTTAACAAAATGACGAACGTTATTCAAGGAGAATCACAACCAAGAGTCTCTTAATATTTTGAGGAAAAGGGATAAAAGGGCGAGAAAAGAAAAATAAAAAACCAGCCTAAAATTGAACAGGAAAATGCTGCCAAGATACTTCCAAAAGGCTCAAAGGCCTGCGGATGTTGTGTCTGTGTGAGAATTTTGCAAGGTTCACTTCTTCCTCAATAAGAAATCCAATTTGCACTGGCTTTTGCCAAACAGCATATGCACCAATCCACAGGGTGCCGGGAAAGAGACCAAACTGCCACACAAAGAAGAAAGAGATGGGCTACTGAGCGGCAGAGTCCCAGCTACGATGGGCAGGCATACTCCGAGCATGGGGCACCGTGCCGTCAGTGATCTGACATGAGGCAACCCTGCCCTCTCCAAGGTCGAGCAGCAGTCCCAGCTGAGATGGGCAGGACCACTCAGAACACGTGGCGAACATGCTGTCAGTGACCTGGCATGAGGAAACCCTTCCCTCTCCAGGGTCCACAACGAGGACATGCAGCGTATGAGCACAGGACAGCACAGAGATGTCAACATTTAACACAACAGTTAAGGAAAATGGCACAGATTCAGGCATCTGGTCCAGAATCCATTTGGTAGTTTCCACCACCCCCCCCCCAAAAAAAAATCTTTTCAAAGGTGTTAACTGGTCTACTATTGTTCAAATTCCCATTGACCTTAGCTAGCAAATTGAAAAGATAACAAAAATGTAACTGCTAGTGACTGGCATTCCGGATATCCAAGTCACCAACTCCTAGGACGGATCCCAAGAGTTCAGAACAAAGCAGAGTACGCACATTTTTCAGATATGAAGGCAGTGACAGACTTCATTTCTGTCTCTCAATGCCTCTATCTGTGGCAGCAGATAAGACAACACAGTCCCCGACCTCTTTAATCCATGCACTAATATCCATCCCTCCTAGACTAGCTGAGTAAATACCTGAGAAACATTAGTGTTAAAATATTGCCCTTTTACAAAGACTGGGAGATGGGGCAAAAGTGCAGAAAGCAAGTTTTTCCCTCAGTCTGTTTCACTGTTGGTTCGCGTCAGTTTCCAGAGCTCCTGGTGCAGCCTGGTAATCCACGTCAATGACAAGTCCAGCTCAGGTGAAACTCAGGTCAAGTCACTCCTCGTGCAGAGCACACAATGGCAGTTCCACTGTTTCCCAGGCTTCCAAACCCTAGTGTTGGACAAGGGTCCTCCGAGTTCTCCAGAAAGAAATATGTACAACTGCTAAAGGGACCATCCAGGGAGTTACGTCTAATTATTCCAGTTAGCTTGGTATTAATGCTTTTGCCTATGGCTGTTATTTGGTTCAATGGTAGAATAAGGCGCCACTTTCGAACAATTTACAACTGAATTCTCTGCGCGCGCACACACACTCACCCACACGCAACCACTCATTTACCAGACATGTGACCTCCAAGTACAAAACGAAAGCAGAGAGGACTTTGGCGGGAGGGGAGGGGTTTCAAATAAATAAACATTTGTACAGAGCAAACACTTGGATTGCAGGAATTCACTGAGGTTTCTGAGAAGGCCGTGCAGAGGTTTGCATGCTAGAAGGTAACTTCTTCGAGGACCTTTCAGCTGTCTGCCTGCCCCCGGGAGACGCGAGGACTCCAGAGTCCAGCTGGGAAGCCTTGGCTTTGCGAGCGGACAGCAGGGAATGCTTCGCAGGAGCGGGGTCTTTGGAGTTGAGCTGCTCCTTCCCGGTCGCATTTGCAGAAGGCCGCTGGGTCCCGGGCGGTGGGCAGCCCTTCTCTCCCTTCTCCCCCTTCTCCTCCGGGGCACCCTTGCCAGCCAACTTGCTGGAGGTCCCACCTGCCTTTTTGGAGAGCAAGGTGGTCTTGCCCAGATCAGTTGACCTCCGGGTCTCCTTCTGTCTCAAGGCTGATTTGAAGAAGGACAGCCCCTTGTCCTCAGATTTGCTGTCCCTCTTTAGACCAGACTTCACGCTCATATTGGGGGACCGCAGACTGGCCATGGAGGAGCTTCTGACATGCTTGCTGTCCCCTATTCGGGTCTGGCTCACCCATGGGGAGTTGGGTTTGGAGCTGGAGGTGACGCTGGCCCGGTCAGAACCCAGGCTTTGTCGGGAGCCCTCCCTGCTTAAGCTCCTGTCTGAAGTCCTGCTCCGCCCTGCGGGGAAGGGCCCTCGGGCAGCAGGGCCCGGGGTCTTTTTGGCAGACGACGAAGCAACGGAAGATGGTGACTTCTGCTTCTGTGGCGAAGGAGATGACCCAGCGTCCTGGGACTTCGGGGATGACTCCTTTTTGGCCTGTGCTGGGAGAGGGGAGGCGTGACGCCCACTGGCCCTGGAAGAAGAGTCAGCTTTGCTCCGGGAGCGGGAGGGTTTCGTGGAAACCTTCACAGGAACGGGAGAAGAAGGCGATGTACTTGAAAGAGAGGATTCCTGGCTTGCCAGGACTGGCCGCCCCTTCCGCAAGCTCCTGTCTGGCTCAGAGGTGCCTCTGGAGCTGGGGGACCGCTTGGCTGTGCTGTCTGCTTTCTTGGCGACTGAGCTGGGATGACTCGGGGGCTTCACTTCTTTCACTGGAGAGCTATCAACAGAATCACTCTGATCCACATACGCAATCTGGTTATTGTTATCAAATGGATCAGAGACTGGGGGCAGGCTATCCCCTTGTGCTGGGTTTTTGCTCTGTGCCTCGGCAACGCTCGCGTTCAGTTTGCAGGCATCGGACACTTCCTTGAACACGCTTTCCATGACAGCCAGTGGGGCCCGGCCAGCAGCCTTGTGCTCACGTCGATTGTGACTGTCACTTGCTTCCTGGTAGCTGCTGGAAAGGTTTCTCAAGCTCCCAAAGCAAGATATGGACACCTTGTCGTCCACGGCCTCCCCGATCTTCTCCAGGGTGGAGGCAGAGGTGTGGATCGGCGAGTCCCCTGAGAACCGGGAAGGAGAGTTGGAGCGCATCTGCAGCTTAGCAGACAGGGACCAAGATGGTCGCATGCAGTTCTCATTGACGGCCAAGGGGCTGGTGACAGAGGACCGAGAGGACAAGCTCTGACGCTGGACACTCCTCACAAACGGTCGTGTTGAGAATCCTCCTGAACAGAGCAGAGAGAAGACCATTAAGCTGGGGCAAGACATACAGGTGAGAGGCATGAACACGGAAGGCAGCCAGGTCCTGACAAGGTCAGGAGCATGTCTGCAGAGGCAACGAGTCTGAGGTCAGGTCCACTCAGGGCTTTGTCATGGACAAGCCAGGGGAGGTTTTTAACTTCCATTCCCGCCCATAAAATACAGCATAATCCCAGGGTCAACCATTATCCCCTTTGCCCTTCCTCCTTGGTTTTCAGTGGTCAGCAAACTCTTCCTACACAAACCAGTAATACTTTAGGCTTTTCACAGGGCCATCTTCCATCATGGCATGAGAGCAGCCACAGGTGATACGCAAGCAAGTGGGCAGCCTGTGTTCCAAGGACACTTTCTTTACAAAAGAGGCAAGAGGCCAGATGTGGTCTATGGACTGTAATTTGCTGTCCTTTCACCCAATTTACAGGACACGCATGAGAATGAAATAAAATCAGGAGCCCCTTGGGCCCAGCAAGGACCTCACACACGGCAACTGCTCAGTCAAGATGGGCTATTAATTCAGCTTCTTCGTCTGGAAGGGCGTCTGGAGCTCTCACAGAAGTGAAGTGCTTTGCCAGCATCACAAAGATCATGTGAGGCAGCGCTGAGACCAGAACTCACGAGCCCCCCGACGTGCACTCGACACCACAGGTGGGCAGAGCTCCAACTGTCGACTGTGAGAGTGGGTCAGTGCAAAGAATTAAAGAAACTGGGCCCATCACACTCTCATCTGAAGTGAACGAAGAAATTATTCTTCATTAGAGAGCTACATCCTTATTCTGAGGGACTTAAAACAGCCAAAGGAAAGATTTTAAATAAAATTCTACACATACCTGGTATTGCAACAGTGGTATTGAGAAAGCTCTACGTGTGGATGTGCCCAAGAAATAAACTCTGGTCTGCAGGCCCCATCCACCCAGGATGTGATATGTCCAAAAAGCTATTGATTTCACCAAAGACACTCTTTAAAACAGACTGGGGCAAACCACTGAGAGGCTTATTGTTAAAATGACAGCAATTTCAACTCTAAAGGTTCTGTCTTTAATATAACTTCTACCTAAACAAGCAAAGAGGCACTACTTTTTCATGGAATCTCAGGAACGAGAAAGGAGGTGGGCCGTTACAGTTCTGTACTTTTATTTACAAACAAAGCAGCAGGGGCAGGACAAGCAGTCCGATGCCAGCATCCTAGTCTGGCATTCTCCCTCTGCGCCCCTGCAATTTCCCTCCATTTCACCTTCTCAGAATCAAGTGTCATCACTGGTGCTCAGAATACAGTGCTCAAAATGCTGGCAGCAGACCAACCCCAGCTGGGAGGTGTGGTATGGCCTTCACTGTAGAAGCTGAGACCAGGCTCCTCCCCTCAACGCAGCCCCAGATCCCTGCCTGTCTCCCTGCCTGTCAGCCTCGCCTGTCAATGCCACACAAGTGCTATGTGGAAGAAGAAAAACCCCGAAAGACCAGAAAAAAAACCCAAAGTGCAATTTTTATCAGATTTTAGAGGTTTTAACAACTGTCACCAGCTTCAGAATTCCTGAAATCACCTCTATGCGGAGGGAGCTCTGGTGGCCTAGTGGAAAAGCATTACGCTGTCAATCCAAAGGCATGTGGCTCAGATCGGCCAGTTGCTCTGAGGGAGAAATATGGGCAATGCAACTCCTCCCATGTGATTTAGTCTGTGAAAACCTGCTGCAGGGTCAGCTCCAACTCGATGGCACGTACCAACAGCACCATCTCTACGCAGAAGCAATAGCTTTTGTTCTTAATTGTCCTGCACCAAAAAGAGCCAGCCGCACATCGCTCCAGGAGAACAGTGAGGTGCAGACTGACAAGCCAACCGGCAGGGCTGGCACAGACGCTGCTGGCAAAGCTATAACCTCCCTGGACTCCTCAGAGCTCCTCCTGCACATTTTACAAAGCATGCTGGAAAACAAGCAAACAAACAAGCCTACATTATATGGACTTAACGCTCCAGTTTCCACGTGAAAGCTTAAGAGTGGGAAATATGAAGCAGAAGGAAAAAGCTCCAGATTAAAGTGGAAGTCCAAACCAACCCGATGTCCCTAATAAACACTGTACACTTAGAGGGCAGCGGGGAGGAAAGATGCCCAAAAGACAGACTGACAGGTTAAACTATATTACTGGGGTACAAACAACATAATGCAGACTGCCAAACAATACAGGGAAACAACTTGGTTTCTTGAACATAAAAACAACAAAAAGAGGAAGCAGCATATACATTTAAAGGCATCAATCAAAATGAACCATATTTGCATCTTGAGTCAAATGAAATATTTTAAATATCATAACATCACAAGACGAGTGGACATTTCTGAATTCACTGAATACTTGGTGATATTAGGAGATTATTACTCATTTTGGAATGACATTTTGTAATTACATTTTAAGACTACATCGCTTTCTGTGTAGATATTAAAATATATACCTACAAAAAATTTTTTTTAAGTGTCACTTATACTGCAGTCCATATCCAGGCAGGACCACTCTACAGTCTCTCCCTTGAGAGTTCCCCAACAACTGTCCTGAGGGTTTAGATCCAAAGCACTAATGAGGGAACCTGTGTGTTTGAGGTGCCACTTTAAAATTCTGGCATCAAAACCCACCGTCGTCTTCACTCCTCTCCCCCGTCATCTCCACGGACTCAGAGAGCGAAGCCAAGGAGGTGCGCCTGGAAGAAGCCGCAGAGGTGACACTGGCTTGCTTGCTCCCCGGGAGACGGCTCACCCAGTGCTCACACAGGGAGGAACTCGTAGATCCTGCAGAGAAAGAAGCCAGCCCTGAAGGCTGAGGGCAGCCTGCACTGCGCACACCTGCGTGCTGCCTGAGTGGGTGACCTCCCCACCAAGGCAGCATTCACCCCGGACTTCACACCGGCTTGAGCACTACCAGGTAGACAAGTCACGGAGGGCAGGTCTCCACAGACATGCTGTGCATGGCAGTAACAGGCAAGGACGGGGTGAATGCTTCTTCATGCAAAGTCCAAGTTGTAAAACCTAGCAAGAGGATTAAGTATAGTCATCCACACACTCCTACATTCCACAAATATCTATCAAGATCTCAGGGCCAGACACTGTTCTAATAAACATCTGGAGTTAAACTTCTGACTGACACAAAGAAAAAGGTCAAAGCATACTGTTCTATGGAAATTCTTAACTGTTTTCACACACAAACACACTTCCATACAGCTATCCGGCCTGTCTGTTCCAGGAAATTGCTTAAATATAATAAAACAATAGAGACTTGAAATCGGGACACTGAAGCAGCAGGGCTGTCTCAAGCAGACCATGGAAGGTACTCTCTGAGCACCCCTCAGACTCTGGAACAGTGGGAAGGTCCGTGTGCAGAAGTGATGCTTGCTTTTAGCCACTTAAAACTTCCCCTCCTGTACTTCAAAGAGATTGACAGTTAACACAGCCCCGTACTCTGATAAACGGAGATCCTCATAAATTCAAGTGTGCACTAAGCAGCATGCACCCCTTGCATACTATCATCTGTGATGTGACTATTCACATCTGGGGGGGGGCAGCTGTAGGGCTATTTAGTAAACACAGTAAGCTAGGGACCCCCTCCCCCCATCCCCATGACTAAGCCCAATATGTGTAATACTATTACAACTTTCCATTACTGCTTTAACAGAACAGGCCAATTTTGGTTTTGGGGCAGGATACATTTCTAATGGTGCTTCCCCTTCACTAAATGTGACAGCATGAACCTACCTAATGGGATGCTCCCAACACCTTGAAGTCAGCAGTATCAGTGCATCCACATTAGATGCTAACACTTGGGTAACACACTGACTTAGATGGGGTGTGCATCAAGACAACTCAGTTCAAGACGGCAGCTCCAAGTCTCAGGCCCAAATCTCTCAGCGCATTTTCAGCAGCCCGTGCTGTGCTCACTGTTCATTCCAGAAGCAACAGCAAGTTCTTGCTCTGTCCAGGCCACCCTCCCCTCCCACGCTGCCTGTCCACAGCTACCCGCCCTCACAGGTGCACCCTCATTCCCTTGATCGTGGTCCCCTAGTTTCTAGATTAGATCCAAATGTGAAAATAACCCAATCACACCAACAGTCACCCCCTTGGACCACTGACGACTGAGACACGGAGCAGACCTTACCTGCCACTGAGCTATTGGCAGACCATGAGGGGATAGCTGTCCGCCGCTGGTAGAACAGGATGTACGCTGTCTGCGTGCAGACCTCATCTTCAGACAGCTGCTGCACGTCACTGTCATCGAAGCAGTACCACAGGCCGTCCACCGAGTTCTTACAGTACGCTGCCAACAAAGAGAGGCTGTTGGTCCCAGGAGCAGGGGGCCACCCACTCCACTCTACACAGACGCCGCCTCATCGGTTCACATAATTAGCCCAAGGGCATTTTATCTCTGCATGTATTAACACCAAAACAGGCTTTAGAAAACCTGCATCCCATTATCAAACCTGGACAAAATTCTCTGAGAAATTCCAGATTATGCCAACAAAGGTGAAATTCTATTTCGGCATAGGAAATGCTGGTTTAAAGAAGTATAAATGGTTCTCCATCAGGGACAGTTTTCCTCCCAGGAGGCATCAGGCAACAAGTGGAGTTATCTTTGGGCACCACGGTTGGGGAGGGTGCTACAGGCATTTAGTAGACAGAGACCCGGATGCTGCTAAACATCATACAGTATACAGACCGGCCCAAACCCACAAACAACTATCCAGCCCAAATGCCATAAGAGCAACTGCTAAGAAACCCGAATTTAAACATGGAACAGTTTAGTGTTAACAACTCATCACCACTGAGTCACCACTGGCTCACAGCTGATCCTCCAGTAAGTTTTTGAGAGGCTGTAAATCGCACAGGAGGAGATGCCCACCTCAGAGCAAGCAGCTAGGAGATTCAAACCACCAACACCCCGCCTTTGAGTTAGCAGCGCAGCTCCCAACTCCCAGTGGAGGACACCACCGAGCTCCCCTAAGTGTTCATTAGGAATGGAAAATATTATCAGCAGGTATGATAATGTTGATATTGTTGTTATTGTGTGTCATCGAGTGGGAACCAACAGCTGACCCCCCAGTGGTTTTGAGAGGCAGTTAATCTCACGAGGAGATTGCCCGTCCTTCTGTGGAGCAGCAGGTGGCCTCAAACCACATGCCTTCAGGATTGCAGCACAGTTTCTTACCACTAGGCCACCAGAACTTCCTAGAAATGTTTTGTTGTTGTTGTTTGGTGCTGTTGAGTCACGTACAACTCATAACAGCAGATATGAACTCCATCCTATCCTGTGCCATCCTCACACTTCCTGACACACTGCAGCCCAACGCAGCACTGTGTCAACCCACGTGGTTGAGGGTCTTCTTCTCCTTTGCCGACCCTCCACTCTTCCAAGCACCATGTCTTTCTGGAAGCAATAGCCCTTCCTAGCAACACGCCCGAAGTATGTGAGGTGAAGCCTCATCATCCCTGCCTCCAATAATCAATATTTGTCTAGTGGTTGCTACATACCAAGCATCTCACTTCATTTTACGGTATTTGTTTTGTAGACAATCAAAAAGATAGACTAGCAAGCCATGCAGCTGGGAAAGGGCAGACCCAGTTCACGCCAGGTTATCCGGATCCTATGTGTGTCCTTAAACTCTATCTCATCCTGCCTGCCTCAAGGGGTGCACAGCAAAGTCTGTGAAGGTGTGATTGTGTCCCCCAATCTATGCACTGTAAACCCAAACCCTGTACCAGTGAGTCTAAATCCACTCGGGACCAAGGTTCTCTTTGTTACTTCACTTTAGACAGAGGAGCAGACGGGGCACAAACACAAGGATGAACAGGTCAAGATCGATGCCACAAGACAACCACGAAGGTAAAGAAACAGAAAAGGGGCCTCCCGCAGAACCGAGAAAACCACCCCCTAGAACTAACATCCAGAGGTCGGACATGTGGCTTCCTATGCTGTCAGCAGATAAAAGTTCTGTTCATGAAGTCACCCACTGGTATTATTTCTGTTACAACAGTACTAAGAAACTTGGGCAAGGCCCCTTACAAGTTTCCCTGGTAAACAAAACACAGGAGTTCAGGAGGTCTCTCCAGCTCCAGGTCTCAGCTTGAGACAGAACTAAAGAGCATTCGCCTATCAGCAGAAATAGACAAAAACGTAAATCATCCTAGAAGGATACATAAGGAGTGTTATAAGCATGATCCAAAAAGGTATGCAAAGAAATGAATAAGGTTATTACCACACTTTTTCTAAAAATATCAATCTATGAGGGTGAGAATCAAAGCCTGTTAAAATATTCAGGAGAATCTGCAACATGTGTGTTAGGGAAAAACACCAGGGGTGATGTCTTCGACGGGCCACAGCCACTCTCCTAAGTGAGATCATTGAGAGATGAAGGGGAATTGCATGAGGAAAAGCTTAACCAGACAGGTCTCCCAAAAATGTGAAGAACAGAAAAAATTCTATAAACGATCTTTGGGGCGTGATGGGCTGTGGGGCTAAAAACTCACTAGAACCACAGAGCATAACAGCAGTACTTTCAGTTAAGGGTGTCAGGCAGTGGAGGTCACTGGCCTTCTGGAGGAGTGAGGGGAGAGAGAACCCCAAGAGAGAAGGTAGCAGAGGCACCCTCCACCAGCTTTGCGCTGATTCTCTACAGAATGGTCTGTTCTCTTTCGGTGTGGAAACTGAGGCAGCCCTCAAGCCAAACCCACTGTCGAGAATCATGCTGGCCTCACAGCCACCCCACAGGGTGGAACAAAGCTGCTCCATAGGGCAGCCCAGGCTGCAAATCTCTCCAAGGACCAGACTGCTTCGTCTGCCCATAGGAGGCTGGTGGGTTCATACCACTTGCCTTCTGGTTAGTAGCCAAATGCCCAAACCGCAGCACCAACTCATCAAAGAGCAAATGAGGTATTTACAAAAGAACTCTACTGCAGTGCTCATTTTTTTCTTTGTCTCTAGGACTATTTTCTGAAATGTTTTCAAGACCAGTACTACTCAAACTGAGGGGTACAGATGTGCCAGTTTGGGGGAATTCTTTTTTACTGTACAAGGTAAGTGCCAAAACTGAGGGCAGGCATTTAGAAACTCTCATTAACAACCAGCTATTGCCATGAAATTTTTATTGTACTTTAACCAAAGTACTGGCTCAGGGAGGTTGGAGAGTTTGAGAAAGAAGAGTTCACCAACAGAGAATTTTAAGAAAACACTGTTCTAGGCTTCTTACTCAAGTTACACACACACACACACACACACACACACACACACACACCCTCTTACATACTTACAGCTGGAGCCTGCGTGAAAAGTTTTTTTAAAAAAATATTACAGGTGAAACTTAAAATACAGACTAGCTTTTACTTAACAATGTTCAGAATTATGTAATATGTTCTCTAAACTACTATAAACAATTTACATACCAGAAAAGTGGCAGTATGTTCTAAACATGAGAAAGAAGAAATAATATATGGCAAAGAGGAACTACCTGAGGACCTCTCAGGTTAACAGCATGATCACTGCTGGCTTGTGAACATCGCGGCCAGTTTATAACAAGGCACAGAGCTGGGAGGCTGTACCAGCCTCCTCACCCACACTCCCGCTATTGGACTGCACTGACTCCAACAAAAATATGAGGTTTCAGAGATGCTTCCAACTCTGTTCTCTTTTATAAAGAAAGAGCAACATAATACACTAAAATCTAGCTCCATGCTATTTTTCGAAGCAACTTCTGGCTAAAACACTGTTTAACCAGTAATAATATCTTGCTAAAAACTGCTTTAAGATATTATCTTCCAAAGCAGCAGCATTTTAAATGGAAGATGCATTCTTTACCACAGCTGAAGCTGGCGTGGATAGCAATTAGGGATACCAGCAAAGGGGGACCACATCTGGTAATGAGTAAAACTAAATTCCCTTTAAGTGCCTTTCCATTCTAAAAGTCTGTGACTCCGTATCAAAGAACAAAGAATGACCAACAATGCAACAAAAGCAAATACTGAACTCAAAACACAGTAAGTATATAAAATAATGTTATATAAAACATATATGTATCATTATTTATTTTATTTAAACAGAAACATATAATATCCATAAGCGTGTAGTAATTCTCAAGGAGCCCCGGGGCTGAGCAGAAAGTAGAAGGCTGACACCATGACCCCCAACACCCTGCAGGGAGGAAGGCTTCCCAACTAACCACTGTAGCCAGTCAAATTCTATGGGGCAGTTCTGCTCTGTCCTACAGGATTTCTGTGAGTTGGAATCTTATCAACAACAACTTTGGATCTTACTTTTAGAGTGGATATTAACTTTTACTTTCCATTAAGTATCCCTGGTGGTGTGGTGGCTAAAGCATTCAAATGCTAACCAAAAGGCTGAGAGTTCAATTCCAACAATCTCTCAGTGGGAGAAAGATGTGACAATCGGCTTCTGTAAAGATGACAGATTTAGGAACCCTATGGGGCAATTCTACTCTACCCTACAGGCTTCGCCACAAGGGGAATCAACTCAGTGCTTGGTCTCTGTGCATTCAGAAAGCCCTGAACTTCGCTATCTTCTTCTTCTTCTCATGAAAGTGCTTCCCCGGGTAAACAGGTAATCCACGTCATTCCATTAGAGATTCACTCAAAGCTGGGATCATTCCTCTCACAAACCACTGCTTCCAGCAGCACCTAAGTATTTCAAGAACTTGAACGACAACATTTCAAGAATAAAGGCCTCTGCCACCGCCGTGCTGAGGCTTGAAGGAGGGAGGCTGAGGAAGGTAGCGGAGACAGAGCTGTCACCAGGTTGAGTCTGAGGTGTCTGCTGTAGGTACCACACGAGTAGCCCAACGGAGCGGGTGGCCTTGGCCCGATACCTGCCTCTCTGCAAGTGGCCCAAAGCAGTGGCAGAGCCATGAGCAGGGGAGCCCCTTACGTCAGCAGCAAGATCAGCCTCATCTCCAAGGCAGAGATCCACTACAAGGGCATCCTGTACACCATCGATACCGGGAACTCCACCATAGCCCTTGCCAAAGTCCAGGCCTTTGGTACAGAAGACAGACCAACAGATCATCTGATACCACCTCAAGATCAAGTCTTTGGATACCTTCTATTCCGAGGAAGTGATATTAAAGATCCCACTGTTAGTGAGCCACCAAAACCGCATGTTCTTTGTCTCAAGACCCAGCCACCGTTGCGTCTTCACTAGGCTCCTCTACTTCATTCCTGTCAGTGGGTTCCAATGGACCTTCTGGCAGGATGCCCATAAACAGTCAGTTCAGTCCAAGTTCAATAGTTGGACAGCATTTTGGTGCGGGTGGTGTTGCTGGAAGCTCTTTGACATCTTTGGAACAGAAGCATCCTCAAACAGTGGTACCTCATCCCAAAGTAGTGCAGTTAGGTCTGCTGTCATGCAGGATACAAGGTCTCTAAAACCACCATTATATCAAGGCCGTTCAAGCCCTCAGTTAATTAGACCCTTTGAGAAAAAGCCCAGGCATGGAACAAGCAGCACAGACCACCTCAGCCCACTTACCTGCTCCAGCACCCAGTAGGAGAAGGAGCCCTGTATCAACCAGGCCTTTGCCATCTAACAGTCAAAAAGCAACAGAGAACCAAGAGTACAGGCGAGGTGAAGTTAGTTCCAAGGCCAGAAAATGAACAACTTAAATATGAGAGCAAGAAACAAAGTAATTCCAGGTACTCCTTCAGCTCCTCGGAGAGGCTGTGGGGGTCTACCAAGGAGGGAGGGAAAGACTTGGTGTTTGGAGAGATGGGCCAACAAAATTTGAGAAACACTTTGACTTTGGAAGTTCAAAGGCACAATTTAACAAAGAAGAAATTGACAGAGAGCTCCAAAATTAACTTAAATGAAAAGAAGATAAACTTGAGAAGCAGGAGAAACCTGTAGATGGTGAAGATAAAAGAGACTCAGGAGTGGTTACCCAAGACAGTGAGGGAAGTGCTGATGAGGAAGATCCGCTTGGACCTAAAAACTATTATGCCAAAACAGAATCCTTTTTCAATAATATTTCTAGTGAAGGGAACAGAGACCAGCATGGGCTGAAGAAAGAAGGTTAACTGCTAAAACATTTGGAATCCCACTTCATCCAAATGCATTCACTATATATGTGTTACCAGCACGGGGCGTTGTTTTTTGTTTTCCTGCTTACTTTCAAAGATACAGTGAAACCTATGAGATCCGGAACCAAATGAGACAACCTTGTTTTTTGGGGTCTCACAAGTTTTCCACCTTTGACAGGGTACAGTCTGAATACGTTTCTGTTGCTCTGTTAAGTGGAAAATATTTGTGTTTTTCTTCTGTGACAGGTTTCTGCCTTACAGAGGTTCCAGCTTTTGCAGGTTTTACTGTATAATGCAGTTACTTTGGGAAAGGGGAAAGAGGAAAGAAGGTTCATCTTTAAAAATGAGCCTTTAAAAATATATTTGAAATAGCAAAAGGTTACATGATTTTATTTTAAATGTACAGTTAAACTAAAGCAGTACTTCATTGGGACTTAGAAGTATCTTTTATTACTGAAGGAATTTTCTTATCAATAAGTTGTATTTGGCAATTATCGCACATTGCCTGAGAATGGGGCCAAGCTACTGTGTTTTGAGAAGGTGTGTATGTAAATGTCTTTCTTTTTTCTCTTTTGGAAATCCTGTGATGCCCTTTTTTGAGATAGCTCAATTAATTAAGGTACAGATGGTAGAGAACTTTGTCAGTCAACTATGAATACACAGTAAATACTGTTTCTTAGGCAAAGGTAACTTTTTGATATAGCTGTAAAATTCCATTGTATTCCACTGCCAAAGAAACATTAAGAACTTTGTTTAGTTGTACAAAAAGCAACTAATTTTTTAAAGAATAAATATTTTAAAGTAAAAAAGGAAAGAAAGAATAAAACATCTAGTTCTCTTCCTCTACCTCTTCCTTTTTGAGGAACAAAAGACATCAGCAAAGAGAAGTTTAAAGAAGGAGTGGACAAGGCTAGGGATGGCCAGCCAACTCCTTTGTCTACGAGTCACAGACAGGTTTACCAGTCAACTGTTAGAAACCCCAAGAAGCTCAGGGATGTTAAAGTACCACCTGGCACAGTCTCCTCCCTCTCCCTACCTTTAGAATTAACGGTCAGCCCCGGCATCCGAGGGTCTTGTTATACAAACTACTGCATTAATGAAGAAAGGAAGCCTATCAGGAGTGAAGGAGACACATTAAATATGTTAAGCGTGAGAAAGGCAGCAATCTGAGTCCCAGCTGCTGTACAGCTCTCAAAGGTAATAGCTTTAGCCTCATATCAACTCCCACGCACACATGACCAAACAAGACATCCAAGAGTCGAGTGGGCCTGGCCTCTGAACTGTCCATGCACATGCTGCCCTCAGTAATTCCACTTTTAAGACTCATACAGAACTAAGATAAAGAAAAAGTGAATATGCACACAGATATTCACTGAGATAGGGATAAAAGTTAAAGACCACAGACAACACATACACGCAATGATGGGGACAGGATTCTAATTAGGGTTTTTTTTTTTAATTAAGCATTTCTATCAGAATGCTTAAGAGGCAATGAGTGAAGATCAGGATGTAAAAGTGCACACCAGTCATCAGACCTCACTGTGTTTCTCTGATTCTGACATTTCCCCCTTCTCTCTGCCCCCTATTAGGGCATAAATGTCCCAAGAGCAGGCTACAGGTGTTAACCCAGTAAGCTCTTCCTGTCCCCACTTCCTCCTTGCGGTACACCCTTCCATCACAGAACCAGTACCCCACGTTACTACACTTCTCTTTTATTTGGAGCTACGTCCCCACTGCTATATTGCACTCCCAGACGGTGAAGGGTGGAACTAGTCATGTCTGGATAGTGCCCTGCCCGGTCGAGGTGCTCAATAGAGGAGGTGGTCCACAAGTATTCACCTGAGCAAAGCATACCCAAACTAGCACAACAGAGTAAGAGAACAGAGAAATCTGATAGAAATAAACCAGTACAAGGAAAGAGGACATATCAAATGGATATGGATGGTTTGTTTATAGCTAGACAAGCTTAAGACTAATGGCATTCTTTCCACTTCCCTCTCGTCTCTAGATTGTATAAGATGAACAAAATTGCTTTTATAAAGAAAGTAAATTTAAGCTTAAAGCTAAAAGAACAACCCTTTCCAAGTCAGCTTAAGGATACTACACAACGGCTCCCAGTCATTTCAAATAAAAGGAAGAAACCTAGAAGCTCCATCAGGCAGAGCAATCCTCAAACTCAGGGTGCAGCCTGGTAAACGAAGAGCTGGTCCCGGTTTAACCAGGCCATGCTGTCTACTGTGCACATCATCTGCAACCCCATCAGGTAACTGCTGGGTGACCAACTCAGAGAACACATTTTAGGTTATCTGTTCTTGGAGAGAGAACCAGATAGTGAAAAGCTGCCTTCACAGTTGGTATACTATCTACTGGGTGAGAAAAGAAGGTTCTAAAACAAAGGAATTGTGTCATAAGCAAAACGGGTCTGTAGAAAGCATGGGGACGCCAGCCCCTGGCACCACTGACCACTGTAGCACCCCCTTGTGAGCACCCAGCCCCTGGTCCTGCAGACCTGTGTAGTACCCTCATGGACTTGCAGCCCCCACCATTGCAGACCTGTGTAGTGTTCCCCTGGCATTGCAGAACTGTGTAGCACACCCCCTCTCCCCTTACGGACACCCAGACCCTGGCACTGCAGACCTGTGTGGTGTTTCCCTGGCACTGCAGGCCGGTGTAGCACCCCCCTTATGGACACCCAGCCCCTGGCATTGCAGACCTGTGTAGTGCCCCCCTTGCATGGTGCCATGGTGATTGCACACAGCATACAGGTCATAGACGTAGTCCTCAGGGTCCCGCCCAAGTCCATAGGGTCGTCTCCATGGGGACCAGTGAGATGGCAAGCTCCAGCTGCTCTGGCTTCTCTTGACCACGTGAGGAGTCATGTCCAGGCCAGTCAAAGGGAACTTGACCATGTTTTGGAGTTTCATACGCCGGTCTCCTTCCTGTTACAAGAAGAAAAACATGTTCTGATTGCATTCTAATACAAGCAGACAGTAGATCAGAGCAGGTACTACTGTGGAATAGAGATCCTATCAGCTGAAACTATTTGGTTCCTTATCTGATGTTTCCTAAAAGACATACAACAAAATAGGGAAGCAAAGTAATAGATGTACAATAAAATTGGGAAACAGTAATCATCTAGAACACATTTTTAACAACACTAAAAATGGAAGCAGTGGTAATGTAAAGGGACAGGCCTAACAAGCCTCTCTGGGTGTTCATTTCCTTATCTGTCAAAAGGTACCAGTTCTATGAGGTGTTTTAACCGACAAGAGTAACATTTTCAGGCGGTTAATCCTAATACCTCTATCATGGAGACTGAAAATAAAGGGAGTGAGAAGAAATGTGAGAGGCAAACCAAGACCTCACACACAACAGCCCTCACTGAACAATGTCCCCTCCCTCTTATCTCCTCAAACACACATGCGAACAGTTGCCAGCAATGACTCATCTTGATATAATAATTTAGGGGACGGTCTCTATTATAAATTAAACTCATCCTCTGAAAAGCAAGCATCAACCATCAAACATCAACAGACATTTACTGCATGTTTCCTTCCACCTCCTCCATCGAAAGACCAGAACCACACCCACTGCCCTCGGGTCAGTGACCCTCCACCGTAAGGTTTCTGAGGTTGGCATCGTTACAGGAATACAGGCAGCACAGAAACAGGATGTGCATGAACTGCTGAATTAAAACCAATTTTCTCTGTATGCTTTCACTCAAACCACAATGAAGGTTAAAAACTATGGATAGATTTGAACCCCTTTCAGGGTGGCAGTGCAGCCCCTTCCCACTAGGCCACCAGAATTAAAGATAGATAGACAGACAGACAGACAGACAGACAGATGGATAATGTCATCTCAAGGAGCCGGGAATTTACTAGGAGAAGGCTTTTCTAAAGAGTAAGGTAGAACGAGCTTTGGATGTTCACAAAGTTCAGGCCGAAGGAATTCTGCAGTGAGCTGGGGCCACTGAGGCCTTTACGGAGATGGGTGCGTAAGCACGACATAAAGCACGTTGGAAGGGAAAAGTCATGGCAATTAGGAAACCAGCTAAGAAGCCCCGCAATCACAATCAGCGGAGGCCTCTAATGTGTTCAAAAGAAACAAAGAAAGGAAATTAGCCTTGTGTGTGCAAAAGAATCAAGAGAAGCCTGGGGTGCAAACCTTTAAACTTGTTATCTACTGACAGATGGAAAGCAAATACACAGCTGGGACCTCGACTTATTACTAGGAGCGTGACTCCCCAGCACTATGTCACAGCCCCGTCCCCTGCCCTGTGGACCAGGACTTGGTCACCCTTGACACTTGTAACTGCATCAGCAAATTCTAATCTACTCACTTCTCTCCAACATTATCGTCTGACTCTATTCCAAGCCATCAGCATCTCTTGCTCAAGATGTTGCAATGGCCCCTGCTGGTCTCCCGAGCAGCCTTCATTCCCACCTACCTGTAACCTGTTCTCCACACAGGATCTAGGATGGCCTTTTCAAAACACTAATTTGGTTATGTTGTTTCTCTGCTTAAAACTCATCGCTGGACACCCGTTCTACCTACAAGGGTCTGCTTGAATGACTAGTTTGCCCGTCTCTGCTCCCTGCACTAACACTGCTCTCCCTATCCAGCCAAAACGGCCTGCTCTGGGCTCCTGGGCATGGTATGCATCCTTGGGCCAAAGAACTGTGCACATATGCTCTTTACCAGGGACACCCGCACGTTTGAGCACCATGTTTGAGCAAACGCGGGCCCCCTTCATCTGATCAATGCTTCCTCATGCTCCAGATACCACCTTTCACAGACACACACACTCAGACTCCTCTAAGATTTCTCTCTTATTCTGGCTGGCTACGGGTAGTCTGCCAACAGACTGAGCTGTCATCTCACAGGTAATCAGCTCAAATCCACCGGCTCTTCCACCGGAGAAAGGGTGGCAGTCTTGTCCCATTTGATGTACAGCCTCTGAACCCCACTGGAGGGTCCGCTAGGAGATGGCTATGACCTGAGAGCACCTAACAGCAGTAATACAATGCAGCTGCTGTCTAATTCTAGGGAGCACTGTGGCCTAGTGGTAAGAAGTTGCACTGCAATCCCAAAGGCATGCAGTTTAAATCCACCAGCTGCCCCACAGGAGAAGGTTGGGCAATCCCCTCCCATGCAACTAATTGCCTCTAAAAACTTGCTGGGGCATCAGCTATGGGTCGGTTCCCACTCTAAGGTAAACAACAAGATAATTCTAACTTCAGGGACTAGAGAAATGTTTTTGAGAAAATTCCACAAAGATTTTTTTAATATAGATTTATGCTTCAACTAGGACAACACTCATTTCTATTCTAGACAAAAATACAATCCTACCTCCCCTAGAAATGACCACTATTTAATTTTTTTAATATCCCAAAGCACATTTAACAAAATTTGAGCACTATCTTTAAAGTTTAAACTCTAAAGCAAACCCTTTTAGAACAAAGTAAAATAACTACAACTAAAATGTTCAGTACTTAAAAGGGCCAGAGGACATGAAAATCTCAAACATTGCTTTGGCATAAAACAAAGCATAACCGCAAACATAGGAACATATAATAAAAAACCAAACTTAGTGCCGTCAAATCGATTACAATTTCAAGTGATCCTACAGAACAGAGGAGACAAGACTGCCCCCCCCCAGATCTCTAAGGTGGTAGCCACAACTTTCCTCCAGAGAGTGTGTGGTGGGGTCAAAGCATCGAACTCTGGTTAGCAGCTGAGTCTTGTAACCACTGCACCACCAGGGCCCCTCTCAGAACGGCTGGGTGCCTGCAATTTACAGACAGGCTCCCTGATCAAACAGCAACACCAGTAGAAGGTGCACAGGCCCCCGGGTCACAGGGCTGCCTCTGTTCGGTGCTGGACGACGTTCACACCTGCCGAAATCTCTTGAGGTGAATGATGAGCACGTCGGGCAGAGTCCACAGGCTGAGAGTAATGCTTCCCTGCTGCAGCTGCTTACAGTGCGGGCAACGCCAGGCATCATCGGGGGCCAGCTGGAAACGAGGCGACCTGTGTTAGACAGCGCTCCACACGAGGAGGACCCAAACCCCAACCCACTGCTGCCGAGCTGGGTAGAACGTCCTCCTGTGCCTTCCAGGGCTGCCACCTGACTCCAGCACAGCCACAGGGAGGACTGAACTGCTGACCTTTCAGTTAACGGTCATTTAACCACATGCTCCTTCCATCCCCTCTAACACCATCTGCATCCATTTTCTCACCTGAAATTCTTCAAGCTCCCTACCTGCTCTCTCCCCTAAGGGCCGAACCCAAACTGCTACCAACACAATCTTTTCAGTACCACAGTTGTGAAGCCTCAAATTCCCACTGTCATCTCTGCAGGCAGACAGCTTCAGGAGACGATGTGTAAGAGGTAACAACAGAGCACGCTTGATAAGAGATTTAAAAAATCAGCTCTGGAGTGCAGGTGATCTCCCTGCTCTGGGACCACCGACATCACGAGGTAAGGGAAGTCACGGGCATGCGTAACCCCACACAGAGGAGGGAAAGAGACAAGAAAGGGGCATCTTTCGGAAATGTCTGCTTTAAAGGAAAAAACAAGGTGAAAAAACAAGAATATAAGAGTGAAAGAAACAGATGACTCAAAAGCGTTCCCTTCAGTGCACAGCATCTTTCCAAGCATTTGTCTTCTTCCAAGGACCGGCCCTTCCTTGGGAGTCAAAGTCTCACATCCTGGCCTCTAAGGGGCACCCTGGTTGCACCTTCTCCAAGACACACTTGTTTGTTCTTTTGGAAGACCACAGGACATTCAGTACTCCTCTCCAACATTACAATTTAATGGCATCAATTAATCTGTCATCTTTATTCATTCTTTAGGCATGTTGCTAGGAGGTGCCAGTCCTTGGGGAAAAAAAAACATGCTAGGAAAAGGTCAGCAAAAGAGAGGAAGACTTTCAACAAGATGGACTAATAGTGACTTTAACAATGAATACATGAGAGACAGCGAGGACGACACAGGACAGGGCAAGGTTCAGATCTGCTGTTGACTTAACGGCACCTAACAACAACTCTCAACACTAAATCCTATAAAGAGGACTGAGAACTGAGAAAACACCAGCGAACTGAGCCAGCTGACGGCCACTGAGAACTTCAGAGGTCAGTGTGAGGCCAAGGACAAGAGGTTTTTGGAATGAGTGAGTAAAAAGAAGAGAGACTATTAACAATGAAGCTAGGCAGAAAGGGGAGAAGCAGGCAGGGTTAACCTGAAAGAGAAGCTGAGTGAGGGGGGCTAGCCTCGATGATGGGGAGAGCCATCGTGTTTATACATGAGAAAAGAAAGCTGTGTGACACACTTACAGTCCTTGTTAAGTCACCACCTAGAACAAAGTTTACATTAAAGAGCAGGTGCTTACATTGTCAATCCACTGCAAACTGGTATTTTCATAAAATGCAGTAAGAATGTTGTGAGAATGTCTAGCTGCTATAACATAAACTAACCAATAACAGTAAAGTCGATTCCACCACATAGTGACGCTACAGAACAGAGCAGAACAACAGTCATAAATCTTATGCAAGCCAATGACCTCATCCTTCTCCTGTGGTGGCCAGGGGCTATGAACCACTTATCTTTTGGTCAGCAGTCCAAATCTACCCTGCAGCTAGGCTCCTAACTGCTTCTCAAACTCCTCTTTGCCCTCTGTACTTTGTGGTTATAAACTCCTAACATGCGTTCCTGGGTCGGCCCCAACATGCAGGCCACACTGGCTATCCCTGGTCTCACAGACTCTCTCCAGCAAATGAAGGGAGCTCTCTCGGTAGACAGCTTATTCCACTTTCAGAGTTTATTAAAACTGTCTTCCTGTAATTTCCAAGTTCTGCCTTTTAGCACAATTAATTGCAATTCCTCATCCACAGAGCATTCTTGAAGTGCTTAGAAATAATTAGCCGATCCCACAAAGCCACCATCAAGACAGATTCAGCTGTGCCAAGACACAGTGCAGTGAGAGGGCAGAGGAGGAGCCAGGACGGGCACCAGGGGCATCATGCCCTGCCCACACTCTTTAGGTACCACTGTCTGCCATCCATTAAACATAACAGGTGCAAGCCGACAGCAAGGGCAGTGTTACCACCACCTGATCCGAGATGCTGGCTCTAAAGCATCCGAAGGCAACATGACATTGGCAGATACTAAGCAATGCCGAGCTTGCAGGAACTCCACCCCAAAGCTACTGTCACACCGTCGGATGTTAACCTTTTCTTCTCTAACTGTACTGCTATTTTGAGAGCCAAAGATGAAATGTGTCATGTGGCACTCACTCACTTATTCACTACGTATTTACTGAATCCTTTCTAGGTGCCAGGCACTGCTCTAAATGCTGTCATTGTTTAGGTACCAAGACAGATGAAGTCCTCATGGTCAGGGAGCTTACCTCTCCCCGCTCACTGCAGCCCATCAGGAACACCAGCCTCATTTCTGCTCCTCAACCATGCCAAGTTCCTTGCTATCCCAGGCGTCTTCCCTCTTGACCTATGTGCTATCTGTCTCACTAACAGTCTGTAAATTACATGAGGGCACAAACTTTATTTATGTACTACTATATAGCCTGGGTGGCTTAGTAGTAAGGAACTGCACTGCCAACCCAAAGGTACAGGGTTCAAATCCACCAGCTGTAGTTCCACAGACAATGATGAGCAGTCTCTTCCTGTGTGATTTACTGCCTCTGAAAATCTGCTGGAGGGTCACCTATGGCTCAGTTCTGACTCCATGGTACACAACAACACTGACTATGTGGATCAAAGCAAAGTATGACTAAGAGAAAGAAGAATGGGAATCCCAGAAGACTTCACTGTGCTCATGTAAAACCTATGTAGACTCAGAAATAGCTGTCGGAACAGAACAAGGGAACCCTGCTCATTTTGAAATCAGCAAAGATGGGTGTCAGGATTGCATTCTCTTTCCATACCTATGCAATCTGTCTGCGGAGCAAGTAATCTGAGAAGGTGGAGTGTATGACAAAGAATGTGGCACTAGGATTAAAGGAAGATTCATCAGCAACCTGCGTTATATAGATGATACAATCTTGTTTACATAAAAAGAAGAGGATATGAAATAATTATTACATGATCAGAGTAGAGTTTTCAATACGGATTATATCTCAACATCAAGAAAATAAAAATTCTCACTGCTGAAGCAACAAGCAGCATCATGACAGATGGAGAAAAGACTGAAGTTGTCAATGATTTAATTTTACTTGGATCCATAATCAATCAGTATCTGCCGCAACAGTGGTCGAGAAAATAAAAGGTGTGTTTGCAAACATCAAAAGGGAAATTCTGCAGTCAAGGACCTCTCCAAAGTACTAAAGAGCAACGATGTCCACTTAAAGACTAAGGTGTACCTAATCCAAACTATGATGTTTTCCATTCCTATACATCTGAAAGTTAAGACAATTAATAAGGACGACAGAAGAAGAGTACCGAATATCCTGTGGACTGCCAAAAGATCAAACAAGTCTGTTTTGGAGGCAGTGAAAACAGGATGCTCCTCAAAGGCAAGGCTGGTGAAACTTCATCTCACACACTTTAGGCATGTGGTCAGGAGGGACTATTCCTAAAAAAAGAGATCATGCTGGCAAAAGTGGAGGGTGTAAGACCAGATGGACTGACGGAGTGACTGTAATAATGTGCTCAAGCCCCTCAGACATTATGAAGATGGCATCGAACAATAATAGCAACATCCCCATGTCCTAGTACAGCGCCTCCCACTGACTACGTATTCAATAAACATTAACTGAATGAATGAATTTCTATTAAACTGTGTCCTGCTAACTTGAACTCGTTGTTCTAGGTCAGAGAAACACTTGGCAGAACAGGGTTCCATAATGTCCTCCAACAGATATGTTCTGAAGCTGTGGAAGTGACCTCACTGAGAAACAGGCCCTTTCCAGATCTAAGAATCAAAAAAACCATGATAGTACAGAACGGCCTTATGGTTAATGTCTTTGTAAGAGACAGATAAGGAGAAGACACACAGATGAAAATGTCACTGATGACAGACTGTACATATGTACAAACAGTCCAAGGAACACCAAGAATTGTTAACAACGACCAGAAGCTAGGAGACACAGACTAAAGATTGTTGTTCCTCAGAACATATGGAGGAAACAGCCCTACCACTACCTTGGTTTCAAATTTCTGACCTCTAGAACTGGGAAAGAACGAAATGCTATCCTTCTACAACCACCTGAGAATGTGTTACAGTAGCCCTGGAAAGTCAATACAAATACTAATGTTGTCATCTATCAAGTCTGCTCTCCCCTAAACTTTCTGACATTCTCAAACATCTCCATGCATAATGCAAAAATCTTTCAGAGTTTTCTAAGGCATGATTTGTTTTGCCCATGCTTCTCCTGTCAGGGTCTTTCCAGAGTGCTAAAGAGCAATGATGTCAGGCTAGAGACTAAAGTGCATCTGATCCAGGCCTTGGTCTTCTCAATTGCTTGCTATGCATCTGAACCTGCTGACCTGCAGCTGGACAATAAGTAAAGATGGCAGAAGAAGAACTGATGCTTTTGAGTTATGGTGTTGGAGTACTGAATATATCATGGACTGCCAAGAAATCAAATAGGTCTGTCCTAGAGAGGGTGAAACTAGTTTGCTCTTTGGTGGCAAGGATTCTGAAGTGCTTTCTTACATACTTTGGGTATGATGCCAAGAGGAACCAGTCCTTGGAGGACACCATGCTTGGAAGGGTAGAGAGCGCAGAAGAGGAAGTCCCTGGATGAGATGGACTGACACAGTGACTGTGGCCACGGGGTCAGGTGTCTCAGACAGTGAGACTGGCTCAGGAGAGGGCAAGGTTCCGAGCCTTTGTTCGTAGGGTCGCTACGGGTCATGGTGACTCGACACCTTGTCAGTGCCCCTCTCTATCTGCCCCACGCCCCTCACCTCCCGGCGATGCTGGGTGGCTCCTTACCCGTTCCTCTTTGGTATAGAGCTGGAAACACTGGGATAAAGTGCACATCTGAGGCTGATGGTGACGCTCCCTCTGCAGACGGACACTTTCTGCATCAGGGATGTACTCATCTTCAGTGTTTACAAACAAGCTACAATTAGGAGGGAAAGCATTTATCAGATCCTCCCCTGCAAACTGACACAAATACAATTACCATTTCATAAAGTGGCCCAAAGTCATCACAAAAAGATTAACATACAAGGAAGCAAAAATGGTAATCCAATTTTCCTATGTTGCAAAATATTCTTGCAAAGGTCTCTATCCTACTAGGTAATTTTCAAGACAGAATTTGGAGCTGACAGCTGACATTCCGGGCTTGGCCATGAGCTGTACTAATATAAGCTTGTTCCTGTCCCTTGGATCTCTGGGCTTATAGTGGACACAGCCTATGAGACTTAATGGGCTGTTGTCAGTCACAGTAGCTGGGCCTATAAAGTTACTGAAAATACAGCTCTGTCTCATTAGCAGGAGATACATGTTCTAAGGTTTCCAGGTCTGAAAGAAAGACCAGAATTGTAAATTGTTTAACTAAAGGATTAGCAGCATATCTGGATACTCACCTAAAGAGGAGAGAGATTTGTGTTTCAACTAATTTGGAAGCTCAAGGGTATATCACTGAAATAATATTTAAACAAAGATTCTACAAAGTATATTTAAAAAAAACAAAAACAAAAACAAAATACTCACAAATCTTTTGTCTCCTTGTCCCATTCTACTACTAATTTCACATGAGCAGTACCCCCAGGTCCACAAGATTTCAATGCCCTACAGGATGGGTTGGGGAAACAGAGGGGAAGCCATACATTACTTTCTACACAAAATACCTTACTTCAATGTAATTACATCCTACCTGAAGTCATAATGACTTCTGAAAACCTTCAGTCTATCATTAGAGAAGGTTTCTAGTGAAATCATCATAGAATCACACTTAATAACTAGACTACACCTGGAGTGGAAAATATTTAAAATGTTCAACACACAAATAAAGAGACTGGTTCAAACACAGGATGACAGTCTCATACTGTGGACAATTATTCTCAAATGTCTCTGAGACCTTTTACCCCATTTTCTCACTAATTTAAAGAGAATTGGCAGCAATTCCATCTGAGTGCAAAGCATGCCCTTGCATCTGTCTCTCCACCTCATCCCTAGACCATGCCCAATACCACCACCAATCACACTGAGTGCCAAATGCCGTGTACACTATGCCCACAACAATCCAAGCCATATCCATCCTGCAAGGACCCACTCAAACTCCGTCTTCTTCCTTCACAAAGCCTCCTGAGAAACTCTTTCCACATCCATCATCATCAACAGTACTCATCCATTTTTTAATTGTCCCAGTGTTCTGGGTTACTATCTAGTTGATTACATATCATCTCCAAATTCAAACAGCAAGCTGCTTTCAAATAACACCATGCTGTTAACAGTTTGGAATCTTGATATGAAGGCACTGTGATTATCTTACTAGTTGTTGAAAGAAAACTATTATAGAAACAATAATGTGTGTGTATTTATTTGTCCTTATAGGTATTCAAATATATTCATACATATATTGTGTTGTTGTGTGCCGTCGAGTCACCTGAGACTCAGTGACCCTATGTACAACAGCCCTAAACCCTGCTCTATACTGTGCCAATCTTACTGTCTATGATACACCCACCCTCATTACCCCAGTGACTGAATCAATCCATCTTATCAAGGGTCTTCCTCTCTTGTCCTGTCCCTCTACCCTCCCAAGCATATATAATGAACATAAATATCACTGTTAGTTCACTAAGACAATAAAGTATTAGAACTACAATACTCATTTATAGAAAGAACATTGATTAATTTCAAGAGTGCAGTGATCAATTTCAAAGGTTGATGATTCATTTTACCAAAGGTGAAAGGATATTATGAAGAAAGGCTTGAAGGAAAAGAAATCAAGACATGCAAAAGCACAGGTCTGAAAAAGTCCAGCATACGGAACAACCATCAGTACTTCGGTATCACTAAAGGTTTCAGGCAGTGGGGACAGGAAGAGCAAAGCATTTCCTAACAGAAATGTTCAAAGTTCAATCCGTGAAGAATCTCATACATTGTGGCATCTTTCTGGACTTTAACTTTTAGGCCACTGGGTACCGCTGGGAGATTTCAAGGAGGACTAGAATTTTATCTGGAAAATCCCAACCTTGATGAATATAAAATACCACATTATCTATAGTCCCAGGACATGTTGTTGTTGTTGCTGTTGTTGTGAGATGCCATCTAGTCAACTATAAATCTTCCTCACCCTCTGAAAATCGCCCTGTTCTGTGCTGCCCTCACCATCTCTGACACGCTCGAGTCCACTGTTATAGTCACTGTATCAAGCCATCTTGTTGAGGACAGTGGCCTAATTTCTTTTCTAATATTAGTATTATATGGCTTTTCTGATTTAAAACAAGATAATACCCAATCATCCTCAAATTTGAATAAAAAATAAAATTTGTACTTAATGTCCAAGTGAGAATTAAGAATCTACCACATTTACATAGAAAGCATACCCAACGTCACCTGACATTATTATGTGCACGTATCTGAAGCTCTGGAAGGGACACTCTGGCTTAGTTTTGGGGTGGCTGGGTGTGTTTACCTCTCTACTGTTGGATGGCACAAGGGCTGCTCCTCCTGGGGCAACAAGTATGTTATTCCCACAACGCTGACCACACGCAAACTGAATGGACACACCTGCGTCAAATGTTAAACAAGCATTAGGTTGAATTCCTCCCCAAGGGCATCTGCTCCATAGCAGAAATTCAAAAAAAACTTTGCACAAAGGGTCAGTACCTGTTCATTTTATAAAATGTTTCCTGTAATACTTTGTGAAGTTTTGAATCAGTCTAATACACTTTAAATGTCATTTTTTTCCCCAGCACAATTTACACAGGAAACGTGCTGCACAAGACAACGCAATGCTTTAGCTTAGCATTAACCTAAGGGTCTGTCACAGACACCTTAACACAGCAATCAAACTTTAAAATCATGCAAGCTGATGTTCTACCAAAGCCTCTTAAAGTTTATCATGTGCTAAATTTTATTCAGTATTACAAAAAAGTAGCCCAGCATTTCAAAGAAAGTCTCACAGCAACCAGGACAGGTTCTCAGTCTTGAAAATCTCAACACAATTATTAAACAGCTCTTCACCAAGGGCTTCTCTACTTGCTATCTGGTCTCCTCCAAGTACAGAGGGCTGATTTCCATTCCTGATTTACGATTACTCCTCCATGGGTACAGATGAGAGATGAGCTGGAATAGAAAATGCTTACAAACCTGAATGCAAACTGTAGGCCTCAAGAAATACTTCATCTTCTCTAAGATTTCTTTCTGCAGAAGGTCCCATGCTATTGTCTTCTCCAGGTGCAGCACAAAAGGCAGACCAAACCTGGCAGAAATAAATATACCACCACATCGTCATCGCCTTACCGCCTCTGAGGCCCAGCACTCACAGCTGACCACTAGTGGGCTTCTGATGCTGTCAATCACACAGGAGGAGCTTGCCCATAGTTTTCTCTCAGTGCTGCTGGTGGATTCGAACCTCCACAGAAGGGGGGGTCTCTGGGTTAACAGCGCACCTCCCTATGAACTACTCCACCAGAACTTACTACGATAAATACTACAAGAGACATATACTAATTCCTCTAATATAGTAAATCCTTAATCATTTCAAACAGAATCACAATGAATTTATTTTAGGACAGTTTTCTAAATGAAAGTTTAAAATGCTCATAACTGGATGAGGAATTCAGGAGCAAATCAGATTTCTATATGAAACTTAACAGTTTCTATACCAAATGGCTTCTAGGGCAGTGGGACACTAGGACATCAGGCAGCGAGCAGACTCTGAGGGCAGAACTAGATGGCGAACAGCCACAGCTACCGACTGATGTGAAAGGGATCGTACTAGAAGGGCCTGGACAGAGTGAGAGAAATATAGAAGAAAACACAAATGTCATAAAAAAGGTCAGGCATACTGATCTAATTGAGAGGGTGGAGCCTCTGAGACTAAGACAGACCTTGAGCTACTCTTCAAGCCTGGAACAGAATAAATGACCACCGCCCAGCTTTTCATCCCAACAGTGGACAGATAACATCAAAGATGTATGCTTCCACCGAAACCATCAACTATTTGAGACTAAACTCAGAGACAAACTTTCCAGGGCAGGAAGTGAAAAAAAAAAAGGATGAACAAGGGAAGTGGAATGAGTACTATGCGCTGCAATGGCATGAAACAAAATGTGCATGAAATGCTTAATGAAAAACTGACCTGTTCTGTAAACCCTCACAAAATCAGATAAAAAAAAAAAGTAAATAAATAAGAGAGAATCAAACCCTCATAAGTTCTTACAAGCAAAGCAAATAACCAATTCACAGGCTTACACCCATGAATGGATAATGGTGCCACTGGGGTGTAATCCACACAGTGACGAGCCAGACTTAGAAAAAAGGGCATGAGTCCACTTTTCAGATTTCATGTAAGTACCGTTCAAATAAGTATGTCGAAAATTTGATGAGATGCTAAAAAAGCACTTAGATACGGAATCTAGAGTCCAAGAACTGTCCAATCTGAAGGTAAACATAAAATGGGCCTTTAAACTGGGGCTTAAGCGCAACGATGAATGAATGGAAATCCAAAATCTCTGTAAATGTTCATTAAAATTAATAAAATTTAAAACAAAAGAAAACAAAACAAAAAAAAACTGGGGCTTAAGAATCTTTCTCAGATTCTGTTCTTTTCATTTCATACCTGCCCATGTTGCAAAAAAAGTGAAGTCAACTTTTGTTTTTAAATACTCCAATTAAAAAAATCAAGTATTGTGAGTCAAGAAGTTTTTTCACCCTCACTTTTTTAAAACACCTGACTCTATAAGACTTCTATCACCTCAACACTTCCTGGGGAAAGGCCTGCTATTTACCTTTTCCCCTGTTGCCCGGTGCAGGCCCTGTTACACACCAAGAGCACAATCTTGTCACTTGCTGCCCTCGTGGATGGCAGATCCACTTTTCCCAGCTTTGCAGCCGTTTGTGTAGGGGAAGTCAGTCTATGGTGATCCAAGCCAAATTTCAAGTGGTTCAGATTGTTGTTCAGATGGATTCCTGAAATAGAAGAAAGACATGTTACTTCATCTCTTCAACATTATTTTCATTCATTTATTACAAGGAAATTCATACACCAAAGAAAATAGGAGGCTATCACATTATGTAACTTAAACTACAATCAGAAGGAAGGCGGCGAAAAAAACCCGAAAAACCGGAGGAGGAACAACTGTTTACTTCAAGATTTCCCATCTGGCTGCTAAGATAATTTATGTAACCACTGTTTTTGATAATGTAACCTAGGCTTCTGCTATTACTGAGGAAGAGTTGAAACTGACTCATAGTTGATCCTCCAGTGGGCTTCAAGAGGCTGTGAGCTGCACAGAAGGAGACCGACCATCTTTCTCCCACGGAGAAGCTGGTGAATTTGAACCGCTCACTGAGGCTTCCTAGCTAGCTTGAAAATTAAAGCTCTTCACTTTAGTAAATACTAGCAGTTTTAGAAGGGCAAGTTGTGTGGAAATGATCTGTGAAGAGAAATTCACAGTGAAATCATGCAACCAATAATCAGAAGGATTTTTTTAAAAAATAAGTAAAGGCCAGTTATACAAGCAATAATCTTCTGTTTTCCCATGGTACTTTTTTTTCTGACTTTAAAGAAACATATTTCTTTGAGAAAAACCTTAGCACAATCAGACTGGACCAATCTGCATTAAAGTGAAAACAATAGAGGTCTGACAGGCATAGCTGGTTGCTAAAACCTCATTCTTCAAGGATAATCAAGGCAGAAATACCTAACCACTGGTTCTCAAAACTTCCCAGCAACTCGGCACCCAGCACAAAACCCTACACCAAGGAATTCACTAAGTGTTTGAATAAGCAGTAATTTCTATTCTTTTCTCAAGAGTTTCAGCTTTAGCTTACAGGGATAATATTCCAGCAGAAGAAACCCTAGCACACACACAAAAAAATTAACACCACCACCAGAAGAAGAATAAAAATAGCTTACACAACTATTCACAGCAAAATTCTGACAATGACCTAAATATCCTGCAATGTAAGACTTGCTAAAGCTATTTTAAGTACATCAACATTATGGCAATTTAAAACGACAAGCACAAGGTTAGTACTAAAATAAACTGATAAATTAATTAAAACACAGAAACATTGTTGTGTTGTTGTTGACTGCCTTCAAGTCAAGCACAACTTCACAGGGACCTCATGAACAAAAAGCCTGAAGCCCCTCTACAACCACTGACATTTATCAAAGTTCAGAGTTTCCAGAGGCACAAAGTTTGGGAAGTGGATGCCACTCCTGCTTCCACATATATACAAACAGAAAAAACAAAAACAAACAAACAAAAAAAAAAAACAACCACAACTAGAAACAAGAAAAAAAAAACACTTTAATATTAATCAAGCTTACTGAAGAAAAAAATCCCTTTAAAGCACTTTTAAACACTAGAAAGAAAAAACAAACCGAAGAAGTAGATTCTACTTCATAGCCATTTTAAACTTTGGTAAAAGAAAATAAAAATAATAAAAACCTGAATTTGAGACAATGAGTGACCTCATTTCCCTGATTCTTGGCAGCTGTAAAGGCAGCAAGACCTGTTCGTCTAGAAGTGGGCAGCATCCCTAATGAAAGGGAAGGCCATGCCACCCAGCCACACAGACACCAAGCTTTGTTCAAATACTCACAGCTTACTATCAGCTGTGTGACTACAGCCCATTCCAAGTCCCAGCTCCCACACTGGGCAAGTGAAGAAAGTAGCAGTCTCATGTGTGTTAGTATTTATAAAGCCTTTAGCACAGAGATCAACATATACTTAATAAGCACTCTCTGGCTAGAAGTCTATACAACTTGTGTTGTTGTTCTTGAGTACCACAGAGTCAGAACATCGCACGGGAGGAGAATGTCCATCCTTTTCCAGCAACATAACCGTTAGATCTCACTAATCAGATTCACTTAGAGAGATCTGGTGGCCTACTGGTAAGAAGTTGTGCTACCAGCCCAAAGGTATGTGATTCAAATCCACCAGCTGCTGCACGGGAGAAAGATTAGTAATCTCCTTAGATGCAATTGACAACCTCTGAAAACCTACTGGAGAGTGAGCTATGAATCAGTTCCCAATCTAAGACAGTGACCCAAGCCATCCACCTCTAACCAGGAGATCAAAAGAGCTTCTCCAAAGACTCTGATCAACCCAAGAAGAAGACCTGAAGACATGATACAGCTCCAAGCATCCTACAAACAAGTTCCGGTCAGAAGCCCCACTCAAGCATGACAAGGTCTTCTGGACTGTTCAGGTCCTTTCATTAAACAGGGTCTCCTTCACTTACGAACTAAGGAAAGCTCTCCACATGAATGACAAATATCAAAACAAGAGTGGAGGGAGTTAGAAGAAGGGAAAATTAGAGAAAATCAGAGATAAAAACTTTTATTAAAAAAACCACCACTGTCATCCTCAGAAAAATAGAGTGGTATCCACTTCCTAAACAACATGCCTCTGGAAACTCTATGAACTCAGAGAAACAATAATAATTATAGAGCAAGGTTCAGGTCTTCTGCTCGTAGGATTGCTATGAGTTGTGCTTGACTCAACAGCAATCAACAACAATAAAACAGGAACAAGGCATCATAATAATAACACAACAAAGTTGAGTCCTCCATAAAATTTGTGAGAACTTAAAAGATATAGGAGAAGAAATTAAAAGTCTCAAGGGCAAGAATAATAAACATGCAAAACACCATATAACAGAGGTGAATTTGAAGGACATTATAAGGAGTGACAGAAGTCAGACAAAAGGGAAAATAATGAGTCCACTTTATTGGCACCAGCAGTCAGGAAATCAAAAGATGAACCGCACTGGTGCACTGGGGAACTCTGCCTTCTAATCGGGACCTCTCCAGAGTACTGACAAGCAATGATGTCAGTCTAGAAACTAAGGTGTGCCTGATCCTGGCCATGGTCTTCGCAATTACATGCTAGGAATCAAAGAGCTGGACAATGACTAAGGATAACAGTAGAATTGATGCGTTTGGTTGTGGTTTGGGAGAAGAGTACTGAACATACTATGGACCACCAAGAGGATAAACAGGTCTGTCTTGGAAACGGTGAAACCAAATGTCTCCTTGGAGGCAAAGATTCTGAGGCTCTGTCTCACATACTTTGGGTATTTTGCCAAAAGGGACCAGTTCTTGGAGAGGACATCATGCTTGGAAGAGGACAAAGCGCAGCAGAGGAAGACCCTGGATGAGATAGACTGACACAATAACTGGGGAAATGAGGTTAGGTGTGTCATAGACAGTGAGATTGGCCCAAGAGAGGGCAAGATCCAGAACTACTCTGTTTAGGGTCACTATGAGTCGTTGTTGCCTGGAAGGCACGTAACAACAATAAAGAAAGGTTAACCGAATCATTCTTTGAAGGCTATTTAGGGAGGAAGAAAAGAAGTAAATAAGAAGTAACTAGGTAACAGACACCGATCAACCTGGATGGATAAGGGGATGATCGACACAAGACTAAAGCAAGACGAGAAAGAGACACAGTCAACAAAAATAAGGTGAAAAGGTCTGTATCTGTGACCATTCGGTACTTCTACATCCACATTAGTATACGTTGTAAACAGACCCATTTATCTAGCAGAGACCACAGGGGGCTTAAGTTATACAAACTTCATAATCATAACCAAACACCTTGAGGGAATGAGCTGCTGGTCCTAGGATCCTGGGATATCAGTCTCGAGAGGCATCAAAGTCAAATGACATAGCGTAGCCCACAAAGACTGTTCTGCACCCTACTGAGTGAGTACTGACTTGAAAGCTTGCGAGCAGTCTTCTAAGGTGCGACTATTGGTTTCTACCTGTCCAGAACAAGAAGGGGGAAGAAAAGTCAAGATGAGACTATTTCAACTCAGCACAATGAACGGGGGGAGTACTTGGAAGGGTGAACCTTGGACACTGGACGCAACCCTGCTGTGTTTCAGATTTTCTCATCGGAGATACAGGAACAGCACCGTTCTACAGGCTTACTGTCATGCCTAGTTAAGGTGATGCATGTAAAGTAAATAGAATACTGTCTGACAAACACAAGGTACTGATAAGATGTCATCATTATTATCATTTGATGCGTTTTATAAAAAAGGCTGTTCAGAAAAGGCGGCAGAGATGCCTACCATCATTAATGTACCTTATCAAGGTTCTAGAACTTCTGGCAATTAAAATTAAGACTAGAATAAAAAGTAAAAGGTATTGTTCCTATTTAGTACCTTTTACTTTTGTGGGGAAGGATGGGCAACTGCCTGTAAAATCCACTGGAGGATCAGCTATGGCTCCAACTCGATGATACCCAACAATTACTACTAAAAGGCAAAAGGTAAATTTATTATCATTTGTAAATTACATGATTCCCTAGAAACAATCAAGATAAAGAACAGAAATCAGCAACTAGGAGTTTATATAATTACTAAGTTTAAATAACGACACAAAAATCAGTAACATTCCACAAAGCAGCAGTATCTAATCAGAAGATACGATGGAAGCAGGAGAGGTGAGACTATTAGCAGTCGCAGTCAAACACTGAGGAATAATCTTCAACAAATGAGTGGGATCCTGAAGCTCAAAGTCTCAGAAGGAACATAAAAGCATGAATAAGCAGGGATGTTATATCCTGAACACAGCAGTACCAGGAGGAAGACTGAATACCATGAAGACAAGATAGCTCATTTACTCAACTTGACAAATCTAAAAGTAACTTTAAGAAGCTAAATGAAGGAGACAGAAATTCTTTAAAATAATGGAGGGAAAAAGGTAACTATGTTAAATGTCTGTCTGTTGCTTTTATCGTCCTCTTAAGTCAACAGTAAATAAACCTGGTGGCATATTAAAGAAGCTGGCAAGCAATTTCTTTTACAATGCTCAAAGACCAGAAACCATCTCTAAGGTGCAGCAACTTAACTGATCTGAGGTTGGCTTTCAGGCATCAATTTTTCTTGTGGTTTTTAAGATTCTCAGATGATTCCAACATGTAGTCTTGTGTTCAGAACAACTTTAACAA